AAATCAGTCTCCTAATACCCAAGCCAAAGGGGCAGCCTAGAAAAATAGTAAAATGTAGCCAAAGGACAAAGACAGGTAATAAAGAACAGTCTTCCTTTAGATGGCACACATTATTATTTTAAAGAAAGAACCATGAGCCTCAACTATGAGAAAATCACTCCCCCACCTCTTTTTTCTATAGAGAAAGAAATAGGTAGAGATGGGATCATGACAATTCTCTTAAACTCCCAGCCCCTGTAAATAGTTTTTAGTATACTCGTAATTAAGTGAAAAGGCAAACACATCTTGCTGCATCTATAAATCAGAAAGGCTACAGTCAATGGTTTCTACAAAACAGAGCCTATAAAAAACCAACCCTGAGAGTAGCATATATTATAAAAGTATCTTGGTGTTCCCTCAATTTGTTTTGTAAATTGTTCTGGCTACACATATGACTAAAACCAAGAACAGTCTCTTGCAGCTGCTCATGATTTATCTGCTAGAAAGAAAGATAAAAGATCACTCCTCAGAGATTTATATCCAAATGTCTTGCCCTAATTTACAAAAGGGAACATTAAGATAATCCAGAAAAGAAAAAATAAAAATCCCAAACTAGCATAATGAAAAAAAAAGTCACTGCACGTTGCCTGGTAAAGACAACAAAGACACCCCACAGAAACGAATGCATGGTCTCACTCAGAAAAGCAAGTGCGAGAACATTAGGGATGGGAAACTGACCAAGTCTCTTTGTCCAAAATAAAATAAAATAAAACAAAATAATTCCTTAGAATCATAGAAGGAGAACTTAGAAAGCAAGAATGTAGAAACATGAAACTGAGTCAGCGATAATGATAATATTTCCATTTTCCATTTGTATTTTCTACTCTAATTATCTCATTCATTTGCACTTTAAAAGAAAAACCTTCAAAAACGTAGCACCTCTTATACCCACATATCACCTTTGTCTTCACATATTCCTGGATTGATGTGTGTTAAGTATAGTCTATAATTAAGATATTAGCCTATTAATATAGATATTAGTCTATCATGGGAGTCACCAAATCGACAGATGTAGATTTAGGAAAACTTGGTCTCTGTGCTTGGTTCATTAGGCATCATTTAACTGCAATAAGTCAGTTTTTCTCTCGCTTGTAAAAGTAGGCCAGCAGGCACTCTCTTCTGACGAACAGTAAATTCAAACTGTACATATAGTAAGCTACCATGCTGGTATAAAGACACATATAAAATTTCATTTAGTCCATAAAGCCATCATGTGAGAAAAATCTTTATAACTTTTATTATCATCACACTGATTACAAAAAACAAAAGTCCCCAAAAGTTTAACAAACATTTGCCCAAGGTCATTTGTCTCATGAGTAGTACAACAGGAATTAGAATCTAAGTCTTCAGAAGCTAGAGCCTAGAATCCTTCCATCAACCATATTGTAGGTGTTTCTCAGACATGGAAAGCGAAGGCCACACGTAGTGGGATTTGCCAATCCATGTAAAAAACCTCCAATATCCAGACTTGCTATTTGAGTGGGAAACTTTTATGTGATTTATGGTGATAGAAACATTTCCATCACCTATTATTAAAGAACAAATGTGACCCAGAATTTGCTCTCTTCAAATCAGCGGTTTGATGTAAATAAAATTTAGCAATTTTAATTGGTTTGGCCCAGGCTTTCAGATTTCCATATGGTTATTTTCCTTGTTTTATGTTAAATGTAATCAACTTAGCACTTAGGTTTTAAAGTCTTGGCAGAATGTATCAATTAAAAGCTACATAAATTAGAATTATTCAAAGCATACATTCCAAATTGAGTGATCTTAAGGACAAGACTAAAAAAATGCTCTTTTCATAAATATGTTAATTTTCTTCTACAAAGTAAACTTGCATCGTCACCCACATGACAAACTTCATGCAGACATAAAAGAGAGATTTTCTTTGGAGTAGTGAAAACTAGCATTCTATTTGCTTATTCTCTGAGAGTTAGTATGCCTAAAATGGCCTTTTTACATTGTTTGCAAGATCAATCTTTCTTATCTCAGTATTTCTGAAATTGACAGCAGTTGTGACACTTCTTACAAACCATCCCCAAACTAAAACGTAAGCAGAACACTGATAAATGTAACACCAGGTACATTAAGCTGATGGTACTTTTAACCAAATCTTAATCAGTGTTGCAAAATATGGTGCCTTGATTGTAGTCTAAAATGGTGTATCAGAATATTATGTTTAAAAAATAGTTACACATTGAAAGAGACATTTTTCTAAGCCCAAGCCACAATTACCTCTAGAAACTGTAAAACCACACAATCTGAATAAAATAAAATCAAACAGAAATCTGAAAAACTCAAAAGACATTCATTTCTGTAGAACTGTGATTAAATGTATTGTCACAATTGCTCCTCATGGCTATTGCCTGTGTCATTATATTCAAAATACTGAAGTGAACCACACATGCTAAATGAATGAATCATTCATCAAACCCCAAGTGGTTGTTGATGGAATTTTCACACTTATTTAGCTTGACTGAAAGGCCAGAATACCTGGAGCCTCCATGATTCTTGCAGAGCTGCGTGATTCAAATTAAAGTCCATTTTAAAATATTAAGTTTTTTTTATATGTAGGAGAGTACAGAACCAGCTGCTTTGTAATAGAACCATGGTATTGATGCCATGTTTATAAATGACTATTTAGTAAATATTAATACATACTCTTCCCTGGTGAGGATAACATTAGATTCAGAACAATCGATCCTACTTCTTAGTTTACAATTTACGTAGGCTACTTTCTATCCATGCAGCATTGCACAGAAAATGTCTTTTTAACTTTGGATTAGAAAATTTAACAATATGAAAGAAGATCTAATCCCCGCCCCCCATGTCTGCAGATTATTTTATTGATTTTGGGCTATTTCCAGTGTCCCCATTTTCAGTGACTGTGGAATTGCTAGAAGTATTCTTAAAGAAAACCTTGAAGGTCATTAGATCCTAGGCAATGAATGCCTTCATTCAACAAGGGCACTGCCCTCCTTTGCCTGCAAGGCGTTTAACATCAGTAAGTTCCCCCAAAGGGCCTGCACTTTAACTTGTGTGATGTGTGACCGAACAGGTCACATATCTAAAATACTTAGCTTTCTCAAATGTCTCTGGTCGGCAGCACTGAGTCACTTAATGCCACAGCCACAATGTTTCAGACTAGATTGACCTCTTTCTAGTTTTCAATGGAATTATTCCATGTAATCCGATTTACACAGCCATTTAATCAAAGCGAGAAAGGAGATTACAGAGCTCACATTTGTTTTGCAAAGCAAGGGTGCAAGGATCTTCAATCCTACTGCCTCTCAGAGTGTCTTGATAGTACATCCCCTGGCTTTGGAGTGTTGGACATTAACCTTATCTGTCTCTTGTGTTCTTCTTTAAATAGGAAGGTTTAGGCTCTTTTCCTGAACTAGGAGGTAGCAGCTTCTTCCCCCAGATCTCACCACTACCATTCATGGGAGCAGATGCTACTACAAAAAGGAATAGGTCTCTACCCTTCTTGTAATTCCGCAGAAAGCTCGTCTAAATCAAGAGATTACAATAAAACTTTTCTTTTGCAAGCATCTGTAACATTTGCATTTCGACAGCACTCTGTGGTGATTCCAGGTGTGGCGCTCAATGCCTTGCCTGAAAGCTAACCAGCTTGCAAGAGAGGGGAGAGGCACATGGCTTCTTTTCTCTTAGAGAGTGCTCTAGAGACTACGTAAGCCTCTTTCAGCCAGGCAATGTCCCTTTTCCCTGCCTTTTACCACATCGATACAAGGGGCTAGAGTCTTGCAACTTTCTTCCCAACGTGTACATTTGCAGGCCTAGATATCTGTTTAAAACATGATGCTAAGCAGGCCATTTGATAAAGCATTTTGAGCACATTGATGCCTTCAACCTAAACCAACGATGTGTACAAACACCCCGATTTCCTTTTTCCCCACCATTTCCACCCCTTCCACACATTTCAGGAACTGCAATCTCCGACAGAACCTCTGGGGGGTGAAAGGGCAACCCTTACCCAACCCGCGGCAGACAACACATAACAATTTCTAAGGGGGAGAAGTGAGAGGAGGTAAGAATCAACAATGGTGAAGAGAACTGTGGATAGGATAGGGGGCACCGTGGCGGCCCTTTCTAAAGGACGAACCAGGTATTTTCTTCAAAAAAAAAAAAAACAAAAAAAACACCACTAAAAAAAATCTAATTGTCCCCCGGGGCAGCGCTTTACCCACAGTGCTTTATGTATAACGCAGAATTTAGCAGCACTAGGAATTATCTCAATCACTATCATTTAGAGGTGCCTATTTTATAAAGAGCCTTTATCCCTGCTGAAATGGGAAAAGGTGCATGCATTGTGGAGGTACTACAGCTCTTTAGAGCCCATACAGAGCCGCAAACTAGGCAGACACCGCCGAGAGCCAAGTTTCCCGGGCGGGCCGGGCAGGTACCCGCCCCGCCGAGAGCTGCCGCTTAGGAGCTCCCCGTTGGCTTCGCTCCCCCGGCTGCACCCGCGTCCGTGCCGCTCCCGGTGACCGGCGCCCACCTCGGGGCTACGCAAATAAATCTGAGAGAGAGAGCCAGCGAGGGTGGCGCGTGGGGTGCTGTTTCATAATCTCCCAGAATCCACGGGAAAACCGTCTCCTATGCAAAGACATGCTTTCCCGTGATAACTTAAAATTCCACGGCCCAAAAGCCAATCTTTCCACCAGACGGGAATTGCGGTTTCCGACTGACAGCTCAAAACTTAACTGCGGAATCTCCAAACTTGACACCGGCTCCCTCTCAGCACTCCCAATCCTTTTCTCCCTGGCTCAGCGGGCTCGGGATCGTACACCACGCCGGCCTCCCCCTCACCCTCTTGGCTCACCCGGCAGGTACGGCCCTGCACGCCCCAGCTGCAGGTCCCAAGGCGCGCCGGCTTCCCCGGGGCACCGGACACGATTTTTCTTGGCGAGCCTGGGAGCTCCCGGGCGCGCCCTACTCACTTGTGTCTTCTTCATAAGGAAAGGCAGCGCTGCGATCCAGCACAAGCAGTGGTGTGGCGACTCCGTTTAGCTGTTCTGGAGCTCCAGCATATTGCACGAACAGCGGCGGCAGATAGTCCACGCATTGGGTAGCCCGAGCGCAGCGCCCTCTCTACTGTCCGTGCTTCTTGCGGCGCTTCTAGTCTCGGCGCGAGGCGGCGAGCGAAGCCCGGCTGCTGAGCCGCCGGCGCTTTTATACAGTTCCCTCCCGCCTGCTCCGGACACGCCTCCTTCCCTTCCGGAGCCCCGGGTAGGCGAGAAGCAGGCAAGGGCGCGGAGGGAAGAATCGGGAAGGCGGCCAGAGCACGGTAAATGGCCCAGAAGTTGGGCAGATTAGGCCAACCTCGTCCCCTCGCCTGGGGGCCCCGGACCTGCACCGGCGGGAGGCCGCGAAGGCGCGGGGACGCAGAGGTCGAAGCTTGGTACCCTGCAGCTACTGCTCGCGACGAGTCCCAGCTCACCCTCCCGGATCCGACGGGGCTCACCTGGCACGCCTGGGGACAGACGAAATAACCTCGTGCGCCAGAGAGGGCTCGGAGCTCCCTCTTTTATAGAGTCGGAGAGGGAGAGGAGTCCGGGAGCTTCAGAGCAAAGAATTCACCCTGCCTGCCTTAGAGAAATAAAGTTTAATTGTGATCTGTAGTTAGGCCATTGTCCTATCACCTCTATTTTTTTTTTAAAAAAAAACAATTACTTTAGTGAATGAATATTTAATAATTACAAGAATTGTCGACTCAAGGTTAAGTTTTGCGAGGGGAGATGCTTCATTCGGAATGGTGTGTTACTATGTCTTTGGAAATTAAGATTGAAAGAGAAGCGATAGATTATTAAACTACAGGTCACCAACACAGCAAAGCTTTGAAAGTTGTACTTTTTTGAACGGAAAGATAATGCCACCACAGTAATAATAGCTAACATCATTATGTGATGCACTTATTCATGTACCAGGTGCCAGACTAAGAACTTCGCATAGATTATCTCATTAAATTCTTTCATCAAATCTATTAGTATAGATCTTATTATTTTATTCCCATTTTATGGACGATTAAATACAAGGTTAATTTTCTTGACCAACCATATCTAGTTAATGGCAGAGCTCTAATTTAAACCTGGAGCTCCAGCTGTACAGTCTTAAAAAATACTTAAAACAAATATTTTATTGATTTTCCAAAATGTGTCTGTTTTTGTTTGTATAACTGGAGAACATTCCAAAGCATGTCATTAATTTTTTAAAAGAAAATATTAGCTGAACATTAACATCAGTGATCTTTAAAAGAAGGAATGATGTATGAGTTTAGGAATTAGTTATTTTAATAATAGAGCAGGATTCCAAATTTGCTTTAATTAGTTCAGGTGCATTTGTTAAACACGAATATGCCAAACCTGTAATCAGGGCGAAGCTTATTTATTTCACTCCGGATGTGCTGACCTCTGTGATTTCCCCAAATGTGGGAAACTTGACTGCATAATTTAGTGGGGGACTGCGTTCTCACTTTCGCAGGTTAGAAAAAATATGTATAGACAGCACATCAATCATGATTCCAAGTTGATAGTTGCTTAGAAAGATTTTTATACATTAGGTACTCTTAGTACAAATATATCAAATATCAAAATGAGCTGCTTAATTTGGATACTGAAGGCATTGCAAATGATTGTTTTCTTTCTCTTTAAGATTTTTTTTTATTTTGTATTTTTTAGATGGAGTCTCTCTCTGTCTCCCAGGCTGAAGTGCAATGACGCAATCTCGGCTCACTGCAACCTTTGCCTCCCGGGTTCAAGTGATTCTCCGCCTTAGCCTCTCAAGTAGCTGGGATGACAGGCGCCCACCACCACGCCCAGGTAATTTTTTTGTAATTGTTTTTAGTAGAGATGGGGTTTCACAATGTTGGCCAGGCTGGTCTCGAACTCCTGACCTCAGGTGATCCGCCTGCCTCGGCCTTCCAAAATGCTGGGATTACAGGCATGAGTCACCGCGCCTGGCCTCTTTAAGATTATTTTAAAGTGTAGCATTTTATTTTTTCTGCAGCTTTATTAAGTTATGTTTGACAAAAATAGTATCTATTTACCATGTACAATGTGATGTTCTGCTTATGTATACATTGTGAAATTATTAAATCAGGCCAAATAACATATCCATCACCTCACATACTCATCATTTTTGGGAGATGAGAATATTTAACATCTACTCTTTGTAGTTTTGAAGTACCTCAGTATATTCAGGGGATTGATTCCTGGACCTTTCAGGTATACCAAAATCTGCATATATTCAAGACCCACAGTCAGCCCTGCAGAACCTGCCGACACAAAAGTCAGCCCTGCTTATACATGGGTTTTACATCTCTAGAATCCTGTATTTTCTATCTGAGTTTGAAAAAAAAAAAATTGCATATAAGTAGGCCACACAATTCAAACCTGTGTTGTTCAAGGGTTAACTGTATACAGTACATTAACTGTAGTTATCATTGCTGTACAATAAATCTCCAAAACCTACTCATCCTGTCTAACTAAAACTGTGTACCCTTTTACCACCATTTTCCCCCCAAGGAAAAAAAAAAATTAGTGTCAATATAAACTCACTTTAATGTATAACATTAAGTAAATAACAAGTAGTACTAAAGGAGGACAGATATGACAAAAATAATCAAAATCGTATGAGAGTTACTGAAGCCTGTGAATCGTAGATCTAACCATACGGCTTTTATGAGACCAATAAGAAGGAATGGACTGATTCGTTGGGCCAGGTTTAAAGAAACCAGGCAGTGTTCCTAACAGAAATTCAGTTCAATTTCTTTTCATTCAGCTCAGTAATACATGCTACGTTCATCTCCTGCAATGCATTCTCATTCTCCTCTCTGTTCCTCCCTCTTTCCGTTCTTTTCCCTCTCAGTTCTCTCTGTCTCCTCCCACCTCCACCATTCCCTAGTTCTAGCTTCATTGATATCACTGACTTTCTCATCCAGAACAGAAGTATCTTCTGCTTCCCTCATACTGCTGCATTACAATTTTGTTGTGTAGTAATGTTACTTGAAATTAAATCAAGAGAATGTCAAAGCAAATATCCAAGAGATTAGAAAGAGCTAATATGCAAATGAAAGATTTTGGGTAGGCTTATATGGAAGTCGCAAATGGGTCAGAATGACTGAGATCTCTCCTTAAGACTGGCTTTTGATAGGGGATGCAGGCCAGCATTCAGTTGATTGGCAGAAGAAAAACCAAGGAGTTACTTTAAACTGAACAAGAGGCAGGGCTATGTTCCAGGTAGATAGGAGGCAGGGGGTATGTTTTCTTATGGAAATAGCAGGCTACCATTGTACAGCTCAGGGAGTTCAACATTTAACGCACTGGGTAGAAAGGTATTTCATAATTATCTAATTTTTGCTTGAATACTTTCAATACTCTTTGTCAGTCATGCTATTATTGATTAATCCAATTTTGAAAAGCTTTTTTCCTGAGCTTTATCATTTTTGTTGTTAAGAGGCAGGTGTAATTTACCAAATAAGTCTTATCTTGCTTTGTGCATATGAAATATCTCTTGTTCATTCACTATTTTGTGGATACCATCTTTTAGACACACATATTGTTGTCAATATTTTTCTTTTAAAAAATGGCTCTCACAAACTGAAACTTATTGCCTGACCAAGCCAGACCAGAGGCAGGCTCTCTGTATCTGTCTTTGGGTGACTGGAGGAGGGGGAAAAGGAGAAGAATGCTCTCTTTGATTATGAAATTTCCTCTGCTGAAAGCTCTTTGGTGGCTTGCCATTGCTCTTGGAATAAAGAAGTTAGCACCTTACCAAAGCCTTCAGGGCCTCCAGGATCTTGCCTCTCCCTCCCTCTCCAAGGTCAATTCATTACGTGATCCCCTTTTTCCAGGGTCAAGGCTCTTCTGTCCTCATAATTCTCACCTCAGACCATTTGCAAATACCCTTCTTTCTGCCTCCATTTGGACCACTTTGTTTCACCCTATCATTGCGCCTAGTAAGTACGCACTTGTCATTTAGGTCTCAACTCAGTATTCCCTATGTTTCCTTCCTCAGGGAGGCTTTCGCTGATCTCTTTGCTTTGGTCAATTCTCCTCTTATAAAGTCAAGCATGAACTACCTATTTTTTACAAAACAACTGTAGTTTTATATTTGTTTGACTATTTGGTTAAAGTCATTATGACTGCCCTTGCTCATTATTTTATTGTCAATATCTTTCACAGGGAAAAGAACAGAGTGAATCCCTTAAATATTGGTCAATTAGGTTGCTGTTGCCACATATAAGCCAGGAATTGGTCTAAGTCCTTAGTTTATATTCTGTCAATAACTTCTTATGACAATCACGTAAGACAGGTAATTTTAAACTTTTCTACTTGATAAATAAGGAAACAGGATCAAGGAAGTACAGTGATTTGCTCAAGATCCCTTAGTTGATAAGTGGGAAAACCATTATCTAACCTAGACATATGGACTATGGTTAGAAATTTTTTTGGGGGGGGAGTGGAGGAGGACAGAGTCTCACTCTTGTTGCCCAGTCTGGAGTGCAATGGCATGATCTTGGCTCATGCAACCTCCACCTCCCAGGTTCAAGTGATTCTCCTGCCTCAGCCTCCCGAGTAGCTGGGATTACAGGCATGTGCCACCATGCCCAACTAATTTTTGTATTTTTAGTAGAGACGGGGTTTCTCCATGTTGATCAGACTGGTCTCGAACTCCTGACCTCAGGTGATCCGCCCACCTCGGCCTCCCAAAGTGCTGGGATTACATGCGTGAGCCACCGTGCCTAGCTTGGACTTTTTTTTTTTTTTTTTTTTTAATTTGCTTAGCACACTTTTCTGTCATTCTTCTTCCATTATTAGTACTCATTTTCCTTAGAGAATTCAGACTATTCCGTATCTTTCAGGAGAGACTGTCATTCACATGGTTCTGTTTTCCCACCTCCCTCCACTATAGGAGATAGGCTTAGTTCCCTGATCTGTCCAGTCCTGATTGGTTGAGGAATGGGTACATCACATGAGGTGGGCCAATCAGAATCCACTGTGGGACTTTTCTGCTAGAGCTAATGGAGAAGGCTATTTCCTTCCTATGGAGTTTCCAAACTATAAGAATGTAAAGTTCTCTTTGCCTATGTGAAGACGTGTGATTTTACCAGCCTTGATAATGATGAAATACATAATAAGTTCACAGAGTATTCTTTGAATAATATATTTTTTTCTAGTATTCAGAAAACAACATCAGACTCATTTGTCTAGTTCAGGGTTGTTCTTGATTATGTAATAAGGATTAGCAGTATTGCCAAGGATAGTGTATTAGTTCATTTCCATTAATATAAAGAGATGCCTAAGACTGGGTAATTTTTAAAGAAAAGAGGTTTATTTGGTTCACAGTTCTGCAGGATGTACAGGAAGGATGGTGCTGACATTTGCTTCTGGTGAGGCCTTAGGAAGCTTACAATCCTGGAGGAGGGTAAAGCGGAAGCAGGTGTGTCAGGTGGCAGGAGACAGCACAACAGAGTGAGTGGGGGAGGAAGTCTCAGATCTTAAACAACCAGATCTTTCATGAACTAACTGAGCAAGAACTCACTCATTACCAAAGACATGGTGCTAAACTATTCATGGGGGGTCCACCCCCATGATCTAATCACCTCCCATCAGGTCCCACCTCCCACAATGGGAATTACATTTCAACATGAGATTTGGGGGGGGGGGGGATTATGAGAAATCGTACAGTTCTGCTTTCAGCCGCCCAAATCTCAGGTTCTTCTCTCATTTCTAAACACAAGCATGCTTTCACAATAGTCCCCCAAAGTGTAAACTCCTAAGTTCTAAGTCCCAAGTCCAAAGTCTCATCTGGAGATGAGTTCCTTCCACCTATCAGCCTATAAGATAAAAAATAAGTAATTTACTCCCAAGATGCAACAATAAATAATACAGGCATTGGGCATATGTTACCATTCCAACAGGGAGAAATTGGCCGAAAGAAAGGAGCTACAGGTCCAGTGCAAGGCCCAGCAGAGCAGTAATTCAATCTGAAGGCTCCAAAATGATCTTCTTTGACTCCATGATCCACATCCATGGCACACTGGTGCAAGGACTCCCAGGGTCTTGGATAGTTCTGCCCCTGTAGCTTTGTGGGTGCAGCCCCTGTGCATGCTCTCGTGAGTTGGAGTTGAGTGCCTGAGGCTTTGCAGGTTCAGGATGCAAGCTGCTTGTAGATCTACCATTCTTGGATCTGGAGGATGGTGGCCTCTTTCCCACAGCTCCACTAGGCAGTGACCTAGTGGGGGATCTGTTTAGGGTCTTCAACCCTACATTTTTCCTCTACACTGCTCTAGTAAAGCCGTCCTGTGAGGGCTTCACCCTTGCAGCAGGCTTCTGCCTGGTCACACAGGCTTTCTTGCATGTTCTCTGAAATCTAGGAGGGAGCTGCCAAGCCTCCTTCACTCTTGCATTCCATGCACCTGAAGGCTTAACACCACATGAAAGCGACCAAGGCTTACAGTGGCTTATGGTCTCCAAAGCA